TGGAAGAGTTTGAAGTTTTGCTGAGTTTGGAAGAGTTTGAAGTGGTGCTAGGTTAGGAAGAGTTTGAAGTTTTGCTGAGTTTGGAAGGGTTTGAAGTTGTGTAGGGTTTGGAAAAGTTTGAAGTTTTGCTGAGTTTGGAAGAGTTTGAAATGAATTTTAATTGATTTTTGGGACTAGGTTTGAACTAGATTTTGAACTAGATTGTTAGATTGTTAGACTAATTTTTGAAGTAATTATTTCACTAATTATTTGGCTAATTATTGGCCTAGCTTTTAGACTAATTGTAAAACTGACTTTTGGACTAATACTACATTAATTTTTAGACTAATTATTATATTAACGTTTAGTCTAACTATTGGACTAACTTTTAGATTCACTTTTACACTAACTTTTGGATTAACTTTTAAACTAACTTTTGTACTCATTTTTGCACTAGATTCTAAACTACCTTACACTAAATAAACACCAAACTCTGCGTTAAATTATACTGTATTCTCAATTATAAATTATTCAATATTCCAGTGTTTACCCAATTTGATCCGCAATCTAGACCACGATTGCCCCTATATTCTCTACGCAAGATCCCATAGAATTTCACTAAAGGAAACACCGACAATTCAAACAAAAATGTCAAACAATTAGCAATCTATCATTTACCCTCATTCTCTATCTGTTTATTCTGCAGAGACTATAAACAGTGTAATCGAACAGCAAAGTACGTTCAAATATTTATCGTCCAGCGTAAATTCGGACGCGCTCGTGCCGCTCGGTTACCCATCACTATTTCACGGATCGGATGATCGTGCGGGAAACGGCGGTACGTGCCAGGATGATTGGAATAAAATTGAAGACGCGGTTCGGGACCATTTGTCACGATCGTTAGAAATCGTCGGCCGGGTGTAGAAAATTGCCGGCTTCGATTTAGCACCTCACGCTCGCGCGGAAGAGGGGAGTATCCGCGGATTGTTCCTGGTGCGAATATCTTCGGAAACATCTGCGGAGGAAAGTTCGCGTCTTGCAACGGTGCACATTGTAAATCATAATCATGAATCTTTAATTACGGACGATTGCCGCGTGAGAACAATGAGACGGTGTTCTACGGTTTCTTCGAAAAAGAAACACCTCTTGTATAGAGAACTATGTAAATTCAATCTAAAGTGCAGTAATTTAAATTTAACTTTCGACTAAATTTATCTTCAGTGATCGTCGAAATTTAACGAAGCATTTTTCAAGAAATTGCGTGCTTGTTTTCCAGTTTTCTTCAAGGATGTTGTTGAGCTGTTGTTTTATTGTGTGAGTGATGTGTTTGTTAAATATTAAGATCGTTAGGGTTTTACTTCTTAAATGTTCAGATCATAAATATTTTATTTTGTAAATATCAAAAATGTTAAAATTGAACTATCAATTTTCCATTTTCGACTCTTGTTTATCCATTAATCGACTTTCAACTTTTGATTATCGATTAACCCATTTTTGACTTTCAATTGATCAAGTTTCAAGTTTCGTTTAATCGATTTTCAATTAATCAATTCTCGAGTTACGATCAACGAATCTCCAAGTTTCAAATAATCAATTTTCGAGTCACGATTAACCCATTTTTGACTTTCGAATAATCAATTTTCGATTAATTAATTTTCTAGTTTCAATTCTCGATGATTATTAACCGTCACTTATCTTCAAACTGCGAATATCTATGCATCTACAACATTTCCACAGAACCGCGATGCGTCGAGAAACTCCAGGATCCTCTCGCGACAAACGGAACCGTATTTTCTCCCCGTCGACTTCCTTTCCTCGGAAGATTCGAAAGGAAGCGCGGGAAACGAAGGATGGTCTCGAAAGTTCCGAGCGGCCTGCGGAGAACCGCATTCCATTCTAATCTCCCGGCAGGACGTTGATCATCCAACGTTATCGGGGATAATCAGAAAACACCGAGTGAACTGTTAATGAATTCCGCCCGTTCTTTTCTTCTGCTGTCCGCGAAAAAACGATCGCGGGCATAACCGAGCCCGATAATCGAATGAAAGGAACTCGGATCGAGAACTGGTTTGCGATACCCGCGCGCGGAAAGTATTTAAACTTCGCTTAATCGGCTAGTGTTCCCTTTCAGCGAGGAAATTGTATCGAATGTCTTTCGCGATGTGCAAACCCAAGCTTCCATGTCCTTCTGCATACGCTCAACGAGATAATAATAAGACTCGATCGTAAAGCAACAAAAATTCAACATTTGTGTCTAATGATAGACAAATGATAGTTAAAGATACCACATTTACGCTTTAACAAATTTAAAATCCATCCCTTGGATCTGGTAATAAACAAACGATCCCTATTGTTTCAAACAGATGAAACCAAAACTTCATGAAACGAGATATTCCATGGAAACAATGCACGAAATACGAATAACCACATAAAATTTGTATTATCCAATGCAAAGAACACTACGTCTACACTTTAACAAACTCAGATAATCCTTAATACACTACTCTGAACTTTGTTATGCCCACTTTCAACGTTTCTCGCGAGAAATTCCGCGAATTCGGCTCGCGAGGAATAAAATACACGCCACGCCACTTAAAAGTTTCTAATGGCGGGGAACGTTTGAAAATTCGATGACATAAGGATTTTTATCAAGACGTCGTTTGTGCTCACTTTCTATCGGTAACTGACGAGTTATTGGACTGTCATGGCGGAAGAGCGGAGGAAACGGGGCGCCATTAACACGGTCGTGGGACCATGAACGACCTCGAACTTGCGAAACACCGTGAGGCGTTCTTGATCGACCGATTGCAATGATTTACGGTGGCGACACGATGAGCCCTGGGACCGCTCCGTTCCCCGCGTAGTACGCCTACGTTGGTAGTAGACAGAGGCTTGTCTCCGGAGAAAGTCCGTGCACTTGCCTCCTAACTGCGCCCGTAGAGCCGACGCTTTTTCCTCGCGGAGCGGCGCGAGCGCACCACGAAAATCTGCATTGTAAAGCGGAGATCCCGGACGAGTCTGGTTAACTTTGATTAATAAACCGGCGATTTTTGCTCGAGGATTTATAAGGGAACGAAGAGGCGGTTTATCAGACCGCGGGTTTTATGCAGCTGCAGTTGAAGCGTGGATCGGGGAAATTGTATTTGCAAATTGTAGTGTGAAATTGAATTAATGAGTTGAGTTTGAGAATTAAGTTTAAGAATTGAGTTGAGGAATTGAGTTAAGAAATTGAGTTGAATAATTGAATTAAAGAATTGAATTGAAGAATTGAGAAGTAACATTAAATTGAAACATTGAATTGAAACATTGAAATAAAGAAAATGGAAATTATTTACAAAGTACAAATATTCTAAATAATAAAGAAAATTGTATTGGGGATTTATAAACGAAATTGTAATACTATTATTAAATAGAAGATTGTTTTCTACTTTGTTATTTAGTGACAATTAAGATACTGTTTACAAGTAATTTCTATCGATTTCAACGAAGGAAATCAATGGAGTATTTCAGTTGATCATGCAAAACAATCTCATCAATTGATTCGAATCACAAAAGATCGACACCAGCATTCGAAACCGTGCTTCGAAAGTGAGTTTCCTCTTCCTGTTAGCCAATACGCCGAAAAATTCGTCGACAGCGTGTCGCGCCGCCATTTATGGAACGCTCGACCATTTGCCTCGCATTGCCGCGTGTTTCGAATTCGAATTGCGTCGTGCGGCAAATGGAAATTTCGATTGTGATCCAACACATCTATTTCAGTATTCACAACATAAAAATCATCGAAATTCAAAGGACAAAATTTACAATTTTGATATTTGAAAGGACTAAATTAAAAACTTTTACATTGAAAGCATCAAATTTACAGCTTTGATATGTAAAAGACTAAATTCACAATTTTTAAATTGAAACCACTGAATTAATAATTTTGAAATTGAAAGCAATGAACTTATAATTTTGAAATTTAAACCACCTAATTAATCATTTTCAAATTGAAAGCACTAAATAAATAACTTCAAAACCTAAGGCACTAAATTAAAAACTTAACAATTTTAATATTGTTATTTAATATTTAATATTAACAATAATATTAACCAGTACCAATACTATTATCTTATTTCTGGTGTTAAGAAATTTATTATCCAAGAGAATGCAACCCTATTCGATCATAATATTGCTGAATCCTCCACTTCGTCGGAGTCATCACTTTTTTTATCGACGCAACGTCGATTCGTTTCGCTGAAAAAATCATCGAGGTTATCCGTGAAATCGGAATCATACGGAAACATTATGTCCTGCGATTCCGCGTACGTTGCTCAATTCTCCGCGAGCAATTTACGCTTCTTCCCGACAAATATTCACGGTATTTGCGAAACAATAATTTATAGTGAGCAGACAACAGTCGTCATCGCTGATCCCATCGCTAGATTTATTGTCCGTTCTGGCCGGAAGATCGGAACAATACCTTTTGTTCCGAAAATCTAGGCAACAGGAAATATTCTAGATGACAGTGCGAGATTTAGATGAAAAATCGATGGGTCGATGAAAGCGTATAGTTAAAATCAATTGTTTTCAAAGAAAGAGCACTCTAATCAATGATATTTATTAAATTGATGCAAAAGTTTCGATATATTTTCATAACAAATAACAAGAATTGTTTTCCAAACCTTTTTATTGACTTAACCTATTATATTATTTCCACTGGTCACTATTATCATTGTAAAAATCTGATTTTAAAGAGAAAAATGAATTCTCTATTTTCACTTGCTCCAGAAAACATAAATATTCCCTCAACAATGCAATAATCCTTTAGAATCGGTGAAATAAATCTGTTTACCTTTCCAATTAATTTTATTCCTCTAATATCGAGTGCTAAAACTGACTGCCACAATCACCGTCTGCAGCAATCACTCTGAAGACTGTCCCTGACACTGGCAGTGCTAGACGCATTGCATAACCAAGGAAATTTCCCCGGATTTTTTCGTTTCAACGGCAATTGCTAATGTTGATCGTGAACCAGTATTTCGAATCAGTGATAGTAACAGCCGAGTGGTAAATAAATAGATAATTTAGTACGAGAATATCAATGAACGTCAGACTACTAAAAACTTTGTGCGTCTAGATATCAAGTTTTCACACTTTAACATTATTGGCTATTTCATTAATTTATTCAACGAGTTCGAGGATGTTGATGAATATTCAAATATTAGGAATATGATTTGACTGGAAATGAAATTTCTCTTTTCGAAAATTTCTAGTGGATTCGCTTGTTGATTAAATCATTCGAATAAATTAAATAGTTGCAATGTTATTCTTCTTATTGTTTATTTAATGAGTATTCAAATATTAGGAATTTGGTTTGACTGAAAATGAAATTTCTGTTTTCGAAGATTTCTAGTGGATTCGCTTCTCGATTAAATCATTCGAATAAATTAAATAGTTGCAATGTTATTTTTCTTATTGTTTATTTTTAAGTGAAATAATTCGTGTGTAGTGCTGTGAACACTACCAATATCAATGACTGAAAGGCTTGCTTCTGTACCATTGACATTTCAATGTCAAACCTTGCCCTGGACCTATCCCTACCCGAGTTAACTGTACTACTATTAGAATTGCTGGCATTCCTGAATGGTAGCTGTCTAGACACTGGCTAGACTCAATGTCCTTTAACCCTTTGCGCTCCTTTGTTGTGCGTGACTCGACACAATTTTATTCACAGGTGTGATTCTTTGTCAAGGTACTTTTAAAATAGATTATATTATTATGTTATTTTCAATATTATTAGTAACAAGAATCATTTACACTGCTTTCTACAAACTAACTGTTTTTACAAATGCATTTCAAATAAAATATCGTAATAATATTAAGTTATCGAGGAAAAAATGCAAAGGGTTAACTGTCATTGATTATATAGAGAAAATACTGTATCTTCTTAATATCAATTGTCATTTAAGGAAATACAACCTAAATGAAAATAACAGTGTACGGTATTCATTCAAACAACAATGCAACATTAATGAACATAAGGTTGATATTAGAAGACTGTCATTCAATTTGCAGTATTAGCAAAATAAAAATGACTGTGTATTTATAATATTAATTGTGACTATCATTTATTTCTATTTCAATGTTTCATTCAATATTTTATTTCAATGCCTTATTCAATATTTTATTTCAATTTCAAATTCAATTTCAATATATACATTTAATTTCAATTTATCCATTAATTTCAAGGTTTTCAACATTTAATTTCAATTTATTCGTCAATTTTAATGTCTTCAACATTGTTGCACTCGAAAGTGATTTGTTGTTACAGTTGATTTTCTTGGAATTAGATTGGTGTTAGGGGTTGTTCAGAATGTTGTCTGATGAACTTCATCGCAAATATATTTTTTGGAATTGCTTTAATGTTGTTCATTTGACGGAAGAAACAGGAATGCTGTAGTTAGTGGAAATGTTTGTGTCTTTGCAGTTATATTATAGGAATATTCAACATTGTCTGACGAGACAAAGACGACATTCTATGAAATTAACTCAAAGAGAAATCACAAGTGAAACGAGGAACAAGGCTGTTTTAACGCAATTTTTCACATATTGATGCATTATGCAAACATCGATGTTAACTCTATAACTACCGAGCAGTTAAATTGACTTGTCTATAGGAGTTCGAAGAGTGCATCTATTGCGACTTTAATTAATTTACAATTCAGTTTGCGTATTGCTAAATCAATGTCTGTAATAATTTCTCAGAGAAACAGCTGTTGTCTGTTTAATAATTGCAAAAGGAAGAAATCAGTAATGTGTCATTTTAACCCTGTCTGGTAGTTTTAGTGTTAAATATCTAATTTTATGGTTTTATTACATCGAATCTAGTGGTGACTGACAGTGACCTCTCGAGTGCAAAGAGTTAATAATTCTTAAATTTGATTTAAATACTCCTCAATGGATAAGACGAAGTCAACTAAGTAGACTGTGAAATTTCATTCATTAAGTTCACAATGATCTTCGAGGAAGATAATGGAATTATTAATGCAGGAAATAATAACTTATATAAAAATGTCTAGTAATAATTTCTATTAACGATCTCCATCTCTAATGATTGAATGTATCGTGGCAAGACTGAATAATGAATAATTAAATATTTCAGACTGCACGCAGAGATAGCGTTGCATCGCAAATCATTTGATAAATAAGGAAGTGTTTAATTAAGGAACGTGGTGTGCTGAGCTGAGAGAGTATCGAAACTAATTGCAGCTGGGATTTACTATCGATCTACTCGAGATTTTTGGTAAATTAAAATAACAGTGTACAGCATTCATTAAAACAATAATGCAACATTAATGAACATAAGGTTAATATTAGAAGACTATCACTTAATTTGAAGTATTAGCAAAATAAAAATAACCATGTATTTATAATATTAATTGTGACAATGATTTATTTCTATTTCAATGTTTTATTCAATATTTTATTTCAATTTCCATTTCAATTCCAATATCTTATTCAATATTTTATTTCAATTTCAACTTCAATTCCAATGTTTTCAACATTTCATTTCAATTTCCACTTCAATTCCAACATCTTCAACATTTCATTTCAATTGCTACTTCAATTTCAACGTTTCATTTAATATTTTATTGCAATCCCTACTTCAATTCGAATGTTGTATTCAACATTCCACTTCAATTCCTACTTCAACATCAAGGTCCCCAACATCTCATTCCAATTCCTACCTCAATCCCATCTCCATATCGGTCCAATTCCCATTTCAACGAACAACAACTCTCCCACGATCACCCGAAAAACATAAAACAGAAACTTACAACAAAAATACCCAACAATCAACCAGCGATCCGCTCCAGTCAAAACTATTCTCAATCCTCCAACCCCCTCCAGAACAATAACAAGATCCACAACCAACATCGATAAACAATTATCCCCGAAGTCAACGAGCACGAATAGACATCGCACGGCGCACGTGCCGTTACTCACATTTTCGAAATCTCTCTTTCATGTCACGGCCTCACGTCGCCCTCGTTCGGTCACTCATTCTCGCGTGCCAGTCGAAATTGCGATCCCGTTTCGAGAATAAAAAGAAAGAACGATCCCGTGAAAAGAAAGTCCTCTCTCACAATCGAACCGAGCAGCGTATCACATCACACGTCCGGATCACAGAATCTCCTCGACAGTTGACCGGCTCGGAAAACTCTTCGAGAAAAGCGCGCGACCGCGAGAGGATAGGGACGTCGGTTGAACAAGATGCGACACGGTGAGAGGCCGAGGCTCGACTGAACACGGTACGCGATGAACATTCTACCTGGGACCGAAATCTTATCCTCCCTACCTGGCTTACCCCCACTGCGATCGGACTAACTGGCCTGGCACAATACGAACGGTTCTGGCCAGGTCGGCTTTTCTTTGACCCTTACGGGGGCCGATTTCGTAAGAGGTGTTTTCACTCGGCCGGAATGTGGCGGGGTGGGTTTTACACGTACGATGGGACTGACAGATTTTTAGACCTCTTCATTAACCCTTTGCACTTATAGAATAGGACAGAAATATTAACCCCTTGCCGTACAATGACCAGTGAGACTCGTGATGAAGATTTCTAAACTAATTTAACAAGAATCAATGTTGTTCATTACCCACGGCTCAAAGCAAACAACTATTTTGCTATTATCAATGTATTATCTTCAAATGAAATTTCCACCTGAAGTAGAATGGAAAATTTTGTTGTATTTCTTACAAATTGTTAATAGTAAAATATTACACGAGCTTAGTAACGAAAGTAAATAGTACGCTGAGGGGTTAAAATAGAAATATCATTGTCGAAATCAACCCCTTGCCCTGCAATATCGTGTCAGACTCGTGGTGAAGATTTTAAAGAGAATTTAAGGCAAAGGAATATTAGTGGCGGGGTGGGTTTTACGCACACGATGAGACTGGCAGATTTTTAGACCTCTTCATTAACACTTTGCACTTATAGAATAGGATAGAAATATTAAAATAGGAATATCATTGTCGAAATGAACCCCTTGCCCTGCAATATCGTGTCAGACTCGTGGTGAAGATTTCAAAGAGAATTTAACCCCTTTTCCTACAACGACGAGTGAGACTCGTGGTGAAGATTTTCAACATGATTCAACAAATATACATATTTCTCAGTTCATTTGAATTCAAAGTAAATATAATTCTTCTGTAATCAACTATTATATTTAAAAGGAAATATAGGCATAATATATGCTTAGAAGTTTTCTCTTTTTCCAATAAATTATTAATGAAAAAGTAGCCGTATCAGTGGCGATCCTCTGAATTATAATATTTTATTCAATTCAGTAAATCTTCTAAACAAACTATTGGAACAAGCGAAGCTAAAACGAATGATTAAATCCCTAAATGTAATTTCGTAAGTTGTAACTTTAACTAACTATATCTATAGGATTAATTTCATTTTCTTTATATAAAATATAGGATTGCGGCCGTCACAAATATGTGACACTGATAGTAAACATGTTAAAAGGTATGAGTTGAAGCTTCCTCTCATATACTCACTCTACTCACCACTAATCACACATTAATAAACAACATCTACAATTCCACATCACCTCATTGGTTAACGATTACCGCCATTGCCAAGCTCCGCCCACCAAATAACGTAACATAACCTCAACAACTGAAATATCACGTTAAAATTCATCGATTCCAATGATTCCGCAGCTCTCGAGAAAGCAGTAAGTTTCGAGGAACGGTTTTACATTCCCTTTCGCAAACAGCACAAAGAAATGCCGATCCATACGCCGCAGTTTTCGCAACAAACGATTTTCCTATTCGTTTTTCCACGGCAGATCGCAATCAGGAAATTCTTTCGGGGTCGTTTCCGAACAGAGAACTTCGTCGCTACGGTTTACGATAGTTTTTTCTCCATCTCCTTCCTTCACAATCGAATTATCGGCCAGCTCGAACGATTATCGCGTTGAAACGGGAATTATGCGCTACGTTTGTCCAATTTTTTTACCATTTCTTTATTATTAGTTTCACGATGCAGCGACGTGACGGCGCTGCGTGTTACAGGCGGTTTCTTGTTTTCAATTAAACGCGCTCGGAATTGGTAATAAATAAATTCCTCGAATTAGAATGCGTTCGTGTAATGCCCGCGATCCAAGTTACTTGTGTTACAACCTAATAATCGAATTGTATAAAATCGGTCGGAATAGTGGACTTTCTCCCGGCGCGTTCACGTAATAAGTCCGAAATATTATCTCTGCACACACAGCACCGTTACGTCATCGTGCGAGTATTTTCCGTGTGTTGT